AGGACCTTGAGATAGGACATGGAACACAAGGCAAGGACCTTCAGATAGGATATGGAACACAAGGCAAGGACCTTGAGATAGGACATGGAACACAATGATAACAATGGGAACAACTAGATGACTAGATAAGATTCTGAAAAAGTGCATAAATGTTCACAAAAGCTTTACTCCAAATAGCACCAAAACAATCCAAAAGTCATCAAGAGGAAAATAGACAATTTACAGATTTTTTTGTTAGCAGAATACTATTCAGTAATAAAAAAGGATTATCTGCTGTAATTGGATAAATTTCAAAAATAATATGCTATGGAAAGAAGCCAGATGCATAGAAATACATACTTTATGATTCTATTTATGCAAAGCTTTAGAAAAAGCAAAACTAATCTATGATGGAAAATGAGAACAGTGGTTCCTGGAACTGATGGTGGGGACTGACCAGGAGAGCACATGTGATGGAAAAGCCACACGTCTTAACACAGGTGTGAGGTACACAGGTGTCTGCACCATCAAAACTCATCTAACTCCAAGGCCTGGTATCTCTGCATAGACTGTGAATAAAATATGTATTATTTAAAAAAACTGGAAGAACAGAATCATAAATAATTTTGCATAAAAGTATTCAATTAAGATTCTTTTATAAGTGAAAATGATTGCCATTGTTTTTTTGTTTGTTTGTTTTTGCAGTTTTTGGGCAGGGGCAGGTTTGAACCCGCCACCTTCAGTATATGGGGCTGGCGCCCTACTCTTTTGAGCCACAGGCACCACCTGAAAATGATTGCCATTGTTAAGTGCCAGTGGCGTCCACTATCCCATCCTTGTTGCCCCTTGTTGGGGCCCAGGACTGTCCAGGTCTTGGCCCGGCTTATCTATCCTCCAGACACAGACGCCTATGCTAACTTGCTCAGGAACAATTACCCTTAGGTGCCTGAGGGCTTATTCGCTTTAGCAGAAGGGAGAGAGAGAGAGAAACCACCTTGGAGGGAGAGAAACAGTGTTAGTAAGAAAGTAATTCTTAGCAGTCTTCTTAGAAAGGCCTCGGCAGACGCCCTGTGGGTAGAAGCAAAAGAATCGAAGTGAGTGGTCCGTGAAAGAATGCTCGCTGCCCGACTTCCTTCTGCAACTACTTATAGATGTGATCCCGTGGCTACTTGTACCACAGGTATAGGTAGAGCCTGCCAGCTGCTGATGTCCTTGTCTCCTTGCGTGTTAGGAGAATCCCTCCCCATGCCCTTATCACCAAGATGTCACGTTACCAAGCAGTTAATGGTGTTTCTTATAATTACAGAGTGCTCCGAGCTTAACTCTCATTTCTCCTGTCCACCCATGAGCTAGATGGTCTGCTACAGGTAAGGATATAGAATTTTAGGTGATTTTTTCCCCAGGATCTCTCTGTTTATTCATTCTGAGTACCTACTATGTGTTGGCTACTATTTGAGGGTTTTGAACACATCAGTGAGAAAAACAGACACATAGGTTTGCTTTTAAGTTGCTATTAATAACAATCTGTAGCAGGAGTGGGGAGAAAGAAAATAGAGGTAACTATAAAAAATAAGTAAATGATATGATGTTTCAACAACATGAAAAGTGCGACAAGGGAAAGGCCATCGAGCCTCCAGCGACACCGCCCACCAGCCCGAGGCCATCTGTTAAAGAGTTATGGACACGCCTCTGTTTATAGATTAATACTTTAGCCTTTATAAACTGATAGATCATATAATACACTAGAGGCATTCCAGGAATAAAAGTGCATGTGTGTGTGTGTGTTCTAATAAGTGCTGGTTTACCACAGCTGCTTGATTCTCTAAGATTCTGCGATATTTAACGCTTGAATGAATATGTATCCGGATGTCACCTGGAGTGGATGAAAAGGTTGTTTCAAGGATATTGTGCTCAGTGCTCACCACATTCCTCCTGCTCCTGAGTCACAGTGAGTTATCACGTCAAAGAGCAGCCGTTTTTGTACAAAAGAAAAGCTGCTCAAAATGTTACAGGATTCTGACGCCCGAGTCATTAAGACGTAGTTGTACATAAAAGATGCAGCACTGATAATTCAAAATAGACAAGAAGAATGTGCTCTAGGAATAATTTTTCCTCAAGTCATAATATCTGGCACCAAACATAAATAAAGCCCTATTTTTCTCCCTCAGTGCCCTGCTGTGAAGGAGCCTCTGAGCTCACTCGTTATCCGCCAGTAAAGGGGAGTTGTGGCGAGGCCTTCAGTGATGGAGACACCCTGCCCCTATTTTTTAACACGACACAGGTTGAGAACATAAGAAATCCCCCAACCAAAAGCAGAAGCATCAACGACTCAAAAGCTCCTGTGATGAGATTTTTCACTGTGCTGAAGTATGAAGCCCCATGTTGTTTTTCTATAGCTAGAAAACAGCCACAACCCCCCCCCCCCAGCTTTTTAGTGTTTGCTGTTATTTGTTGCTTTTAATCATGTATTTTTGGAGAAAAATATCAATCACTAATCAGGCTCTGCAGATGAAGTCACGGACCCCCGAACTTAAATCCATACTGCAGCAGAAAATTTCCCGGTGACAAAATAACGTCTCCACGTTTCCTGTTTCTCTGCTCTGTCTAAATGATCCTGTCACTGAACGGACGCCTTCTCATCGCCACAAAGCCACACACAGTCCTAGTTCCAGCTCAAGCTCTTCTTGGTGAAGTCTCCCTCAATCAACATACTGAGCAGTGACCTGTCTCTCCTCTGAGCTCACATTTCCTGATCTTTTCAACCCACTTACTTTGTCAAGAATCATACCAGGTCACTTCCTGTTGTATTACTATAATAATTATCCTTCTGAGAGGTTCACAGACAGGTTATGGTAACAAGAATTACAGCTTTTATATGCAGAACCCAGGTTCGATTCAGGCTGTTCTCTCAAAATTGATTTGACAGTTGAGCTATCTAGAGCTTACACCTGTTAGGAAGGAGATGCCCGGCCAGCCTGTATATGATTACTTAACTGATTCCAGATCTGGGGTATAGTTTTAATAACACCCCTTTGCAGAATTATTTCTCTGAGAAAATGCATTTTTGAATGGGGACACAAAGTAAAATCCCTCATTTAGTGAGATCAGAAACACAGAGTGTGCGATATTGTCCCACCCCTGCACGGCCAACATCATGCTGATCAAAATGCTCAGGGGGTCAAAACCTGCTGACGTGGGGCAGATGATGGAACATGGCGATTAAGTCCTACAAATTGGTCTGGAGGAGCTTCCTGCGTTGGAAACCACAGGGCTGATCTTCCCACGTCTCTGGGAAGCCCCCCGTGACCTTCCACTGATGTATGTTTTTCCAGTAGTCGAGAAAGACCTGTCAGGGCAGGGTCAGGGCCAGGTGTTGACCACAGAGTGACACACGCAGAGTGACACACAGCATCATTGTATGGCAATTTCCCACATACTTCTCTTAAAGGGGCTTGGATCACTTTAATCCATTAAACAGGGTCATGTTCTTGCTTTATTTTGACTGAATTTGTAAAAGCATACCAATTTAATATGAGATAATGCTATCTGGCTTTTTTTTTTTTTTTTTACAGTTTTTGGCCGGGGCTGGGTTTGAACCTACCACCTCCAGCATATGGGGCTGGCGCCCTACTCCTTTGAGCCACAACTGCCGCACTGCTATCTGGCCTTTTTAGCATCTTTTCTCATACTGCTTCTCTACAAAAGCAGTTGCTGGAGAAGCTGTTTAAAGGTAATGCAGAAGGGAAAAATATTGGGTTCATGGACAGGTGCTTTTCTAAAAAATTATTCTAATGCTAGTTTTCTGTCATTTCTTTTTTCTCTCTTTCTTCCTTTTCCATGTGGGGAGGGGTGAGCCTCACTTTTTCCTTAATACTCAAAGCAGTAACAAGAATCATCCCAGCTTGTGACAACACAGCCCTGTCTGCGAAAGCCCAGTCTGGGGCAGAATCAGGAGGGTCGGCCTTACCTCTCAGCTCTCCCATGTCCAGGGTGGTCCCCAGCTGTTCTAACAAAGCAACTCTGGCCGCGTTCTTTTTGTGTTTCTTGCCGTCATAATGCTGCTGGGCCATCAGAGGGTTATTGAACCAGGCTGCACAGAGCCCACAGTATCTGTCCGAGTCTCTTCTTTGATAGGGAGATGCAACCACTGGCGCGGCGTCCACCCGCGGGGGCTTCAGGGAGCTCAGGGGCGCAGCTGTGAGAGCGGAGAGAGGCCCCAGTTAGTGTGTTACTGAGTACACCTCTGCTTAGGACCTGGAGAGGAAAGCTCATTCCAGAGCTTACAGTCCAAAGCATCACCTTAACAGTCTTCATTTTTGAACTGGAACCCAAATTAAAATCCTCAATTCATTGTGATCAGAGTTTGCATATTGCTATACCCAAATCTGATAGCTCAAGAAACCATCCCTTAGGGGAAAAATAAAGGGTTTTTTTGGCTGGGGCTGGGTTTGAACCCACCACCTCTGGCATATGGCACCGGTGCCCTACCCTTCTGAGCCACAGGCACCACCTAGAAAAGTAAAGGTTTTAAAAATAAATTCTCAGACCTAAGGGAGTGATCTATTAGTCAAAATGAAGCTAAAACTTGTAGGCAACACTGGCTAATCATGACTTAAAAGATTCTGGGTGAATAAATCAGATAGTTGTATGCTATAAATGGACATAACCAACAAATAAAAGCTTTGTTTAATTGATAGAAAGAGATCTTTCAATGACATGGGTTGTAATGATTGAAGAAATCATACTAATATTATTCAGTTATTTCTATTTACTGTGATAGGTTATATTCAACCCATACTTGCTAAAATTGATGTGTAAAGTTCAGTTTTTTTTGAAGATCAAAAGAAAAAAATCTACTTAGCCTATTTGATCTAAATCAAATAGGCACACAGCACTGTTTGGGGCTTGCACAGTCCCAGCCATTAAACCAACACATTTCACTGTGGGCTTGGAGTTATTTCCAGTCCAGAAAAATAGTCTCCCTTGAAGGACCCTACTAATGAAAAGTAGAAATAAATTGCGATGTTTCACAACAAGGTGAGTTGCTTCCATCCTTGGACTGACCGTGTCTCAGATTATTATCCCATTTCTCAGAGGACAGACTCCAGAAATGCCAAGTGACTTACCGGGGGTCTCAAAACCAAAGCCTGAACTCTCAAGGCCCACGTTCCTTCCGAATCCCCCAGGACTGTTTTCACACTTCTCAAAAAGCAAAGGAATTTTTTGCCTAGACCTGTCATCTTTGTATTTCATACAGAATTTCATTTAATTTTGGGGAAAAAAATTCTGATCCAAGTATTTTGGAGAAGACAATATTGAAATTCTCACACGGTCCATTAGTCACAGTACAGCAACTCTGCCCACATGCCCTTCACCTCTGTAATGCAGGGTGCAGCTATGAAAGCCATGGAAATTATCGTTCCCCGTAACAAGTTAGGGAACCAATTAATCTACTTTCAAATAACTTTTATGTGGGCTTTTATTTTTTAGATTAAATAACTTACATAGAAATAAATATTTTCTGACATCTTAATTCAAGAAATGCCTACTTTGTGACAGTATCTTAAAGAAACAAAGAAATCTTTCCCCCCCTCTACCCAGAGACTTCATCAGTTTTACCATTTAACTTAATGGTATTATTTTTGGATACCTCCTAAAAGCCCCATTGCTAGATTTGATTCTATATTGCCGCGTAGAATTAAAGCTCAGACGTGCCCTTCCATCCCAGCCACTGGGTACCATTTCGCTGTGACTCAGAAGTGCTAATAAAAGTTGCAAATGTGCAGTTGACCTGTATGTGAAAGGACCTCCCTCCACTTTCTCAAGGAAATTGGATCTTGCTTCCAAAGGTTTTTGCATCCTTATCAATTTCTGAAGATTTATGGCTGCCTGTTGTTTTGATGGTAATGGAAAACACATCAAATATTTACAGTCCGAATGAATGTTGACTCCTGAAGCGTAATTTATCTTTCTCTAAACTCACCCCTACAAAACATTTCAGAGTCGGTTTTGCCAATGGATACCTCTCCACCACTTCCTGGCAGGAGGGATGCATGATAGAATATTCATCACATGGGACCATCTTATCTTGCACAGAGGAAAGTGTCTGATGCTACGTCTCTATTACAGCTTCTCCTTCTGAATAATCCCCAGCCTGAAAGTTTAATTTTTCTTTTGCTTCTGTTTTCCACTGTCTCCACCAATCACAACCCAGTTTATATCCCCTCGCTGTCTCTAAAGGCAAACAAAAGCTCAGCATGCAAACAGCCTTGACTCAAAGTCAGAAAATCCAGGTTGCCGACCAAGCCCTGCCACCTTTGGCAAGTAGCTCATGTCTCCGGTTTCCAAGAGGTTAAAATTCGGGTCACAATCCATTTTAAAACTGGATTTTTTTGACACCTACCCATTGAGTGGGGATAGTATAAATTGTAGAAGCTCTTTCCCCTTTACAGCTTTGATTCGATGCCAAATATGGAAATTACATGGGAGGAGAGCAGTTTCCAGGTTTTAATGATAAATCTCTGTGTGTGCAGGAACCATAACACTCATATTCTTTGGCAAAAGTGTGTCATTCTATTAAAATGAATACGAAGTGGGGTGCAGATTTAATTGATTTAAAAACATGCTTTTAGCATGTTTTTATCTTTTGATTTAAAAACATGCTTTTAGCAGAACGCTTCAGCTGGTATGTCATTAATTTTCATTTTAATTTCACATTGCGTATTTTCATTTCAATTGCAAAATATTGACTCTACCTATCCCTAAATATGGATTAAAACGAAGCCAATCTCTAGGACCGAGAACTAGGCATCAGGATGTTTTTTAAACCTCCCTCCTCCCACACCGGGATCCATGTTTGCAAAGCACAGCCAAGGTCAGAACCGGTGCTGTAAATATTGCCAGATTTTCTCTGAAAATGACTATTAAAGAAACCTTTCTTAGATCTCCACATAAAAGAAAGTCATGTACCCAATAGCAGTGAAACTAGTCTTCTGTAGGTAGTAAATAAAATGTCACATATTTATCTATGAGATAGAAAGAAGTAATAATTACTCACTTTTTTGTTTTTGGACAGAGTCTCACTCTGTTGTTCCAGGCTAGAGAGTAGTCAGCCTAGCTCACAGCAACCTTAAACTCCTGGGTTCGAGCGATCCTCTTGCCTGAGCTACCTTCATAGCTGGGACACCGGTGTCCCCCACAATGCCCAGCTATTTTTTCTATGTTTAGTGGAGATGGGGTCTCACTCTTGCTCAGGCTGGTCTCAAACTCCTGAGTTCAACCACTCCTCCCACCTCAGCCTTCCAAAGTGCTGGGATTGCAGGTGTGAGCCACTGTGCCCAGCCAATTACTTGCTTTTTAAAAAAGCCCTAATCAATTTTCCTGTTTTGCCAAAACACACATTTCTTTAAAAATAGCTAATATTCTAAGTTAATGTTGGTGAGGTTGAATAGCAATTATTATTCCTTTCCCAACAAATAAACTCAAAAATATATTGAGGTGTGTTACCACCTACCTGTGGTCAGTTTCCAGCATGGTTGGCCTCACCGCACCAACCCCATCCACACAGCCGGGCACTGCTCTGGAGGGGCACCTCCTTCCCACCTGCTCGGTGAGGCCCTGACAACCTGAGTGGGAAGGGGCCCTGCTCCTCTAAGCCTAGGAAGCATCTTCTGACTGCACAGTTCCCCTGGCATTTCTTATGCGCCACCTTGAAATATTAGTTTTGTGAACATGGACTTGGGCAACATAAACTTTTATTAGGTAACTTTCGTGTTACTCATTAGTATATATTCACAATTCCTCATTTGAATCAGAAAAAACACAAACCCCTGAAATTCAAGTTTCCTCAAGATCCATCTATTGCCAAAACCCGACCTGTAGTCACAGGAGGCGGCCTGCTGTCCCCACGGGCAGCCCGGAGTGTGAACACACACCCTGTCACAGATCACGGATAGATTCCGCCTCCGGCCGCTGCCCCGCAAACACAGCATACACTATGCAGATCTCAAACCTCACATTTCTGACTTCCAAAACATGTTCAGCCCCAAATACTTTTGGTCAAAAAATCATGGATTTTTAGTTAATTCAGAGTCAGTAAAATAAACTCAAGTTCCTCTAATGCTTGGAGCAAGCCGGCCTTCCAAAATGGTTTCTGAGAATCTTTGGAACCTGAAATAAATTTTAATATCCATCAGTGCCTAGCACAGAATTCGTGAAGGTACAGCTTCTCCACAGCTACTTGCAGACTGCTGGAGATTCGTCTGGAGCAACGACCTAAAGCCGTGTGTCCCTCTGTCTTGTGTTTGCTTCTTCCTGGCAGTAAGAGCCGTCGATTTCAGGACAGACATTTCCAGGGCATCCCCTGTGTGTCTCTATCAGATCAGTTCTCATTTCATACAACACTGTCTATGGCTGGACTGCTCGTGGCCCCACACTCTGTATGGTGACAGACACGAAGGGCCCATCTATTCATTTAGAAGGGCTAAATGAATAAATGAACAAAATGTTCTTCACCTTGTAAGTATAGTAAGAGGTAACCAGAGTCCTTTTATTTCTTCTGGACTGTCACTGGGGGCCTAGGTAGCCAGATGCCATGGGGTCATTGTAAACATAAACAATACGTGGCAAGATCTCGGTGAGGCAAAGGCCGCGTGGTAGAAGGGCACAGGCCAAGCTGCGGAGATGGACACCAGGCTCCCACTCTCTTCTGAATTACTGCAGAGATGGGCACCAGGCTCCCTCTTTCTTCTGAATTATCAAGGAGATGAGCACCAGGCTCCCTCTCTCTTCTGAATTACGGCGGAGATGGGCACCAGGCTCCCTCTCTCTTCTGAATTTCGGAGGAGATGGGCACCAGGCTCCCTCTCTCTTCTGAATTACCACGGAGATGGGCACCAGGCTCCCTCTCTCTTCTGAATTACCGCAGAGATGAGCACCAGGCTCCTTCTCTCTTCTGAATTACCGTGGAGATGGGCACCAGGCTCCCTCTCTCTTCTGAATTACGGCAGAGATGGGCACCAGGCTCCCTCTCTCTTCTGAATTACTGCAGAGATGGGCACCAGGCTCCCTCTCTCTTCTGAATTATCGAGGAGATGAGCACTAGGTTCCTTCCCTCTTCTGAATTACTGCAGAGATGGGTACCAGGCTCCCTCTCTCTTCTGAAGTCAACCAAATGTACTGAAAGTCACTATCGTG